TAGGAGCCTCAAGCTGTCCCCCTGGGTAGAGTGCCGTAGCATCACAGCTCACAGCAACCTCCAACTCCTGGGCTCAACCAAGTCTCCTGCCTCAGCCTCCCAAGTAGCTGGGACCATAGGTGCCCACCACAATGCCTGGCTATTTTTGTTGTTGTTGTTGTTGTTGTTGCAGCCGTCATTGTTGTTTGGCGGGCCCAGGCTGGATTTGAACCCGCCACCTTGGGTGTACATGGCTAGTGCCTTAGCCACTTGAGCCACAGGCGCTGAGCCCATTGAATAGTTTTTAATTGGAAAAAGACATCTGGGTATATTCCTGAAAATTTGGAAATGACATGAAGCAAAGCACTCCCAAATCCTCTTCCCACCCTCTCCAAGTCCTGTGCATCAAGTCAGATGTCTTTCCCTTCTAGTCTTTCTTGCTAAGCATATATATATATATGCTTATATATAAATTTTTTTTTTTGCAGTTTTAGCCAGGGCCAGGCTTGAACCCGTCACCCCTGGTATATAGAGCTTGCACCCTGCTCCTTGAGCCACAGGCACCACCCCTGCTAAGCATATTTTTTAAGTAGTTCTGTTCATAGTTTGTGAAGGGGATTTGGCTTTTACCATAGTTGATACTATTTCCTTAGGAACATTCTTTTCTTTAGTCAGCATACATTTGCTGTGCCATCCCAAAAGTGAGATACAGAGTCTGGCCTTCATGCCTTCCCCAGTTTTGTTCGGATTTGTTCTTTTCTGAGGGTGACAGTGATCCTTGCAGATTTTATAAATGCCCCTAGACATACTACTGCTCTTCTCTCTGATTCCTCCCATGGCCTCTTCTCTCTGCAGTGCAGGGCTCTGGCTGTACCTTTGTGTTCCAAATGCATACCTGGGGCAGGGTATCCTGACAAGTGACTGTTTTGCAGCCCTTACCATGCCTTGCTGCTGCTCAGTGATGAGAAGACCTTGTTGGGTGAACTCCCCATTGACTGTTCCCCTGCCCTGGTGCGGGTGATCAAGACTACGTCTGCTGTGAAGAACTTGCAGCAGCTAGCCCAGGATGCAGACTTGGCCTTGCTACAGGTATGGCCCTGGGGCCTGGATGGGTGAGAATGAAGGGCCCTGGGTGCATCTTGAGGATGTGGGAGTCACTGGGGTGGCAAAAAAGCAGACCACCCACCATGTTGCCTTTCCAGCACTTATGTCCAGCTGGGGGTAAGGGTGGGTCTTGTGATGTTTGGAGATGCTGGTGTCTGAGACTGACCTGGGTCTTGGGCTGCCTCTTCCACATGGTGAGGAGGTGAAGTGAGGTGAGGCTACAAGAGAATGGAGTAAGGTGCTCCTAGTGCTAGAGCATGAGACACTGGGACTGGGCTGTGTGGGCAGGAGCATGCAATGTGTGGGGCTGGCTTATGGGGGCTTAATAGTAGCCCATGCAGTAGCATGTAGGAAGAGAGGGCAGGAAGCTCAGACACCAGCATGCCCACACGCAGAGCCAGGACCAACTGTGTGTGCACATGTGCTCTGGCCTGTGCTTTTTGTGCAAGGTGCCACCTCCTCGCTGTGCCATGTGTTGTGGGCTGGTCTGTGCATTCTGAGCAGGTAGAGGCCCCTCAGCCTTGTCTGTGGATCTGGTGGTGCCTGGGTTGAGAGTGAGGAAAAGCAAAGGGAAAAGCTGGAGATAGGAGAAGGGACTGCTGACGAGTAGCCTCCGATGACAGGCTGTGGATCTAGTCATGCTGGAGCTGCCTAGGGTTTTGGGTGCTATCCAGAGGACAGCCAGAGAGCAGGGTCAAGGGGTGCCTGTAGGTGGCCAGGACCCGGAGGCGGGTGGCAGTGTGCACCACATGGCCACCAGGAGGCAGCAGTGGCCTGGCACAAAGAACCCCTAGGTTTCTGGAGAGGTAGGGGCTGCTGCTGCTTCTCTTGGCCTGTGGAGGAGCCAAGCATAAGGCTGGACTCTGTTTCTAGTATGAAACATACTAGAGAGCTCATCCCATTATTTTTTCCCTAAAGCAGCCTTTTAAAATTCTTGTTTCCAAATAAATCTCTCCCTCCTCTGCACCCCATGACCTTTTATGCACTCCCTGTGAGAGCACTTACCTGATTCTGTCCATATTTCAGTCATTTTCCTGGCCTTGACAGGACCAAGTCAGGACTATATCCTGCTCACCTCTGTAGCATCCATAAAACAAAATTTTATCTTTTAAAAAAAAATTTTGTGAGTGTTTGCAGGTCCCATGTTATGCCCTGAAAGGAGCTGGCCACTCACTTTCTATGGGGGCCGTCTGATGGGGAGTCTGTGCTGGATGTTGTGCCCCCCTCCCCCCCCCGCCTTGCTGTCAGAGTCTCCTTGGACAAGGCTTTGATGTCTCTGATGTCCCCTCATGTCCCTGGCTTGGCCTTGCCTGGGTGGGGGCAGGTCCCACCCCCAGCCTATACCTGGTGTGGATCAGCCAGTGTTTGGTGCTGTGTTACTCTGTGGAAGCCCCTGGGGCCTAGCCCTGGGAGTCATCTTGCTAGCTTCTGATATCACTTTTCCCTAGAGATGGCCTCTTCAGACATGGTGGCCCAAGGTGGGGTGTTGGCTCCAGGGGTTGAATGTCACCAGATGATTTGAAATCCCTCATAGACTAAATGCTAGGGGGGTTTTGGTCAAGAAAAAAATGTTACAAATTATAGACACACACAAAAGAAAGTTTCCATTATCCCAGAGGTAAGCCTGTAGATCCAAGGTTTTAATTTATATATGTAAACATATTGTTACTTTTTTTGAGACAGAGTCTCACTTTTTTACTCTTGGTAGAATGCTGTGGCATCATAGCTCACAGCAATCTCAAACTCCTGGGTTCAAGTGATTCTCTTTTTTTTTTTTTTGAGACAGAGCCTCAAGCTGTCCCCCTGGGTAGAGTGCCGTGGCATTACAGCTCGCAGCAACCTCCAATTCCTGGGCTCCTGCCTCTGCCTCCCAAGTAGCTGGGACCACAGGCGCCCGCCACAACGCCCGGCTATTTTTTGGTTGCAGCCGTCATTGTTGTTTGGCGGGTCCGGGCTGGGGATTCGAACCCACCACCTTAGGTGTATGTGGCTGGCGCCTTAGCTGGTTGAGCTATAGGCGCCGAGCCTCAAGTGATTCTCTTGCCTTAGCCTCCCAAGTAGCTGGGACTATAGGCACCTGCCACAATACCTGGCTATTTTTATTTATTGGTTGTAGTTGACATTGTTGTCCAGCAGGCCCGGGCAGGATTTGAACCCTGCTAGCTCCAGTGTATGTGGCTGGCGCCCTAGCTGCTGAACTATAGGCGCCAAGCCATAAACATATTATTTATAAGTAACAAAATTAGGGCCACATTGGTATGTTCCTTTTGTTGAATAATGGCCCCCACAGACAGCCACACCCAAATCCCTAGAACCTATGAATGTGATCTTATGTGGGACTTTGGCGATGTTATTAGCTTAAGGAGTCTTTCCTGAGATGGGAAGATTATTCTGGCAGGCCCTTATGAGAGGGAGGCAGAGATGGGAGTGATATGGCCTCAAGATGCCTCAAGAGGGAGCATGGTGCTGCTATTACTTGCTCTGTAATGCTGATACTGAGTTTTGGCTTTCAGAATGGTACTCTGGCTGCCTGTGGAAAGTGTCTTAGAAGGGCAGAGAGATCAGAGAGGGCTGATGCAGGGATAGGTGGAGATCACCAGGCTGGGTGGCAAAGGTAGAGAAAAGTGGACATGAGTCTGCTTTAGAGCAACTATCAGGGGCCCTGGATGAGAGAAGAGGGTGGTGATGGCACTGGAATCAGCTGTGTTTAGAGTTGGCAGTGCCACCAGAGGTCTCATTTTCTGAGATGAGGAAGATGTGTTCTCAGCAGCATGGCAGGCACCACGTGTAGTTAGGGACACAGAGGATCAGTAGTGTCAGGTGAGGCAGTAAATGAGGTGGTGCTGGGGTCAGCACTCCTTCCCATGGAGTGCTGCACTTGCGTACCCATCAAGCTGGGGCTGCCATAGGTTTCCCCTGGAAGGGATTTTGGATATCCGAGTTTATCTGTCTCCTGGTGTCTGAGAGTCCAAAAGCACAGGGCAGGGGGATGTTCTTCAGGGTAATGAAGGCACTCTGGAGCAGTGTGGGGCTCATGGGTGTGCACATTGAGTGACTGACATCCACTGTCATTGGGGGAGACCATACTGTGGTCCTAGTAGGTGTGGGAGGGCTATTCCTCTGCTAGGATACCAAGTCGAGCTGACTCGGTATTCCCCAGCACCCCCTGATGTCCTCATGCTTTGACTTGCAGCATGGGTCTGTGACTACTACTCCTCAGTGGGAGCCCAGACAGCACAGCAACAGTGATAAAAGGTTTTGTGTATTCTCTGCCCAGTGCCCTGATGGGAGGTGGGGAAGATGCTGGTCAGAGGAGCCTCATGAGCCATGGCCACAAAGTTTGTGCTATGTGAACCTCCAGCCAGCTTCTCCAGGGCAGGGGTGCTATGGCCATTAGGCTAAGCACTGCCTTCAGCCAAGGTGGGACAGCCTTCCTACTTCCCCTCTGCCCACAGGTTTTCCAGCTTGCGGCTCACTTGGTATACTGGGGTAAGGCCATCATCATCTATCCACTGTGTGAGAACAACGTCTACATGCTGTCTCCTAATGCCAGTGTGTGTCTGTGAGTACTTCTGGCTGCCTTGAGTGGGAAGGTGTGAGGCTGGTGGACCTCAAGGCAATGCTCCTAGGTCAGCCAGGCACTAGAGGCTGTGGAAGCCCTGAGGCCAGGCTGTCACTTTAGCCTCACATCCAGCCTCTGGTGTGCCAAGGTACCAGTTTGGTCTGGTTCAATCCTGTGTGGCCCTCCTGGCTGGCTCTCCTTACCCACCCTGAGAGATCTGAGGATGTGCAGGGTTATCCTGTACCCATGGCTCCTGTAGTCACGGGGCAGCAAGTATCTGGGCTTTGTCCCCTAAAGGCCTGCACAGCTCTGCTATGCCTCCTGCTATGCTAATCCACTCACATCCATGCTTCCCTGCTGAGGGCCCGTGGTGAGAGCATGGTGGGGGTGGCTGAGCTCACCCCATGCCCTCCTGCCCCTAGGTACTCCCCGCTGGCTGAGCAGTTCTCCTGTCAGTTCCCGTCTCATGACCTGCCATCTGTCCTCGCCAAGTTCTCCTTGCCTGTCTCCTTGTCAGAATTCAGGAACCCCCTGGCTCCCCCTGTGCAGGAGGTGAGTCACAGAAGTTCCAGGAGCCTGGTGTGGTGGGCAAAGTGGGTCAGGTCCGCTTACCTGTCTGTTGGCCTCAACATGAGCATCTTTGGCCCTGCTGCCCCCTCACCTTGGTTGTGGAGACTTGCTGTGCAGCTGTTGCACCCTGTCAGAGGATTCCAGAAGCCAACCAGGCTATCTGCAGACCCTCAAGCAGTTGTCCCCTTCCTGAGGAGCTGCCCTGGCTGCAGTGGGTGGCTCTTACAGGAGGGAGCTGACCCTTCCCAAGCCAGCAGAGCTTCCGTGGGCCTGAGGGCCTGAGCCTGGTCTTCTAAGAGGTTTAGCTTTTGGCCCCTTCCCCCACCATGATTCAAGTGTCCATGGGATCTGTGAGTATGAGTTCTGGCATCACTGGCCCCAGGATGTCCTTATGGGAGAGGACCTGGGGAGGACCAGTCCGGGTGGTGCTGGGTAGTGGGCCTGGGTCAGGGCAGGGGCACATGTAGCAGGAAGGGGTGGGGCTCCTGCAGGTGTAGATTAACTTCTAAGTCTGCATCTATAGTGGTCCTGTGGCTTCCCCTGTGGGCAGTAGTAGGGTGTCACTTTTTCACAGCCTTGTGCCAAAGTGTCCATAGAAACCAAGGAGGTTTTGTGCCCTTCCATCTGCTGAGCTCTTGGAGCTCTGGGCAGGAACCCAGGATAAGGCCAATAAGACAGGTGTTGGAGATACCTCTGTGCTTTGTCTCTAGAAATGAAGTATTTGTTTCAGCAAATGCCAGATCTATTAGGCAAAAACCAATCCTTAAAGTCAAACTCTTCTCAGCTGGGTGTGGTAATCCCAGCACCCTGGGAGGCCATAGTGGGAGGATCAATTCAGTTCAGGAGTTTGAGACCAGTCTGTGCAAAAGCGAGACCCCGATCAGTACTAAAAACAGAAAAATTAGCTGGGCATAGTGGCGGCACCTGTAGTCCCACTTACTCAAGAAGCTGAGGCAGGAGATTGCATGAGCCCAGAAGTTTGAGATTGCTGTGAGCTGGGCTAAGGTCACTGAACTCTAGCCTCAGTGACAGAGTGAGACTGCCTCAAAAAAAGAAAAATCAAACCCTTTCCTTTCTCAAATTGTGAATGAGAATAAGGTCCTGGTTTTCAGTTCCTTTAGACGCTGAGTGTGACAAAGCTCTGAATGCAGTCTTTCATAGAGCCTCTGGCTTCCAGGAACTGTGCCAGGTTGTACTAGCTGAAGAAAAGACAAGCTTTGCATCTGCACTTCCCACCCTTCCTCCTGGGGTAGTGCTGGGAGGGGCTGCTGGTGCCCCTGTCCCAGCAGAAATGTCCCAGTGGATTAGATAATGGACTGGATTTTCCATGACAGAGTGGCTGCCTTGTCACAGGGCCCAGATGGAGCCAGATTTGGTTCCGCCAGTCTAAGGGACAGGCTTTCCAGTGCTGTGACGCCCCTTTGTTTTTCTTTCTTTCATGTTAAGGCTGGATATTTTGCAATACTTTAGCTAATTTTATTGGCTTTTGAGCACATTACACATGCTTGTGGCGTGTCCTCCATTCCCCCTCCCAGGAGGTGGCCCTGACCAAGCAGTTCCTTGTATACCCTCCAAAGACAAGCAGACAGGTGTGTATATCTGAGGACACCGAATGCTCTTTGAGGATTCCTTGCTATCTTGCATCTGGGGTCTGGGAGGTGTTTTCTCACTGGTGCTGGGCTCTGCCCACACTGCTCTTGGTCAGTTGCTAGCCTGCCCTGCCATCCCTCAGGCACATAGAGGGTCCCTGTGCTCAGCTTCCTTCTGGAGTCACCCATGTGACCAGGGTACACCCTCAGGTAGATCCAAGAAGACTTTTTGCTCCCATAGCATCTGTTCACAGCCTCTTTCTGAGCAGTGCCTGGGCTTGCCTGGTAGAGGATCAGCTGCCAGGCCCCACTGGGCTACTGGTGGGGGAGGCAGAGTAGAGGCAGATTCAGCAGCACAGTGGGGCTGTTGGCTCAGAGGAGGGGATGTAGGGGGCCTCCATGTGGCAGGTCCTGCCCCCTAGCCAGATACTGACCCAACCCAGTGTGGTGTGATTTTAGGGTTCTCTGGTCTACTTCCTTCCCTGGAGGGTAAGCTGGCCTGGCAAAGCTTGCTGGTAGGTGGGGCTCCTTTTCTGAGAGGAGGGCCTTCCTACCCAGGAGTCAGCACCCAAAGCACACAGGGTCTGTGTCTGGGGCCATGGCTCCCTGAGCCCCCAGGAAGATATTGGGGCTTAGGGGGCCAGCCTTACCTGCTGCCTGCCTGTAGACCCAGCTCATCCAGATGGTGGTATGGATGCTGCAGCACCGGCTCCTCATCCAGCTGCACACTTATGTCTGCCTGATGGCCTCACCCAGTGAGGAGGAACCCCGCCCGCGAGAGGATGATGTCCCCTTCACTGCCCGCGTTGGGGGCCGCAGCCTCAGCACGCCCAATGCCCTCAGCTTTGGCTCCCCAAGTAAGCACCCCAGGACATTTATCTGGTGGTGTGGGAAGACTTTTGGGGCTGGCAGACAGGAGGCTCCCCATGGGCACTGCCAGGAATGAGGGGCCTTCACACAGCTGTGCACACACAAGTGCACACCCACTAATGTTCTCAAGGAGACCCTTCCCCACCACTCACTGTGAGGAGGCAGTGCTGCCTCTGGGCGCTTTAGCAAGAGCTTGCAAGGGTGAGGAACAGCCCCAGCCTTCCAGTCCCTGCTGGAATCCCCTTCTCTAGCCTGGGATCAGGGCAGGATCTCACATCATCACCAGCAGAGTCAAACTTCTGTGCCTGAGGGCCCATGAGAAGACAATGACTGTCACAGTTTTTTCTTCAAAGAGCTGTGTGGCCACTATGTGCCTCCAAAGGCTATTGCCCTAGCCCCTGGTAGAGGAGAAGCCACAAAGATCCAGTCCCCAGGCTTGGGGAAGTAAAGGGGATGGGAGGTTTTGAAAGTCCTCTTCTCCAGCTGGGAACTGGCCTCGGGTATCAGGCTCCAAGTGAGGACCCTGCCTGCCTAGGGTACTCATCCTCCCTGTCAGGTGAGGGTAGAAAGCTCAGGCCTGCCTTGAGGTGTCGGGGTACACAGCATACCTCTTCAGGGTCCACAGGGCTGTTCCCATAGCAGGGAGGCTCCTTTTCCAGGTCAGCACTCGGGAAGTCTTGTGTCATACCCACAGGAGGGGGTGGTAGTCAGTACCCTGCAGGACAGATGGTACAGCTAGGACCCTAGGTGAGGCATTGTGGGAGTTAGGGAGGTCCAGCTGCTGGCTGTGCCCTGGCTGCTCCCCCTGGCACCGTGGCATCCAGGGTGCTGTCACCCTGACTTGTACCCACCCACAGCCAGCAGTGATGACATGACCCTCACTAGCCCCAGCATGGACAACTCCAGTGCAGAGCTGCTCCCTAGCGGGGACTCACCACTGAACAAGCGGATGACAGAGAACCTGCTGGCCAGCCTATCAGAGCATGAGCGGGCAGCCATCCTCAGTGTGCCTGCAGCCCAGAACCCTGAGGACCTCCGAATGTTTGCCAGGTGGGGACAGGATGATTACGTGGGGCTGGGCCCAATCTCAGGGTCAGGACAGAAAGCAGACAGGGATGTACCCAGCATGATCACAAATTTAAATTTATGGACAGCAAACAGTACTCTTCCTGGTTGAGGTGGTATCTCCAGCACTCAAGTGTCCCTACCTGGTACCTGTGTGCAGGGCAGGTGCCACCAACTAGGCTTATAGAACTCAGCCTATTGGGTCTGGGACCAGATGTGCCTCTCTCTGGGAGTCTTCCCAGTACTTCCTACCCAAGTCTGATCAGAAAGGTAGCAAGTTCTCACCCATAGGGGCTTGGCAGGGTTTGGCCAGGACTCAGCTGTGGGGCTCTAGGGTTTCTCACATCATAGGTGATGTGGCTGGACCATCCCTTGTCACCCTCACCCTCATTTGAGGGGCACTGTAGATGCATGGTTTTCTGGGAGAGGGATGGTTAGCAGGGTCTGAGCCCCCAGTGGAAAATTACACTCTAGGTCCTCGAGACTCTCTGCAACACTTTGAGGCAGCTGGCCTAGGCCTTGCCTGCATCCTGGCTGCTTCTCATAGCCTCAGCGGAGAGACCCAGGAGAGCAGTGAATGCTTGGGTTCAGAGCCGCATGATACTCTGCTGCAGTAGCACAAAAGAGAAGCCACAAAGCATGGCACTCTACTGAGGGCAGCAGCTTGAGACTTGTCTCAAAAAACTGAGAAGCCACAAAGATCCCTTCCCACACCAGAAGGCAGGAGTGGGCAGCTCCAAGTTTGAGAGCTATGCAGCCTCCTGAACTCACTGTAGTCCCAGCTGCTGGCTTTCCCATCCATGGTGGGGCCGCCTCTCTGACACCTCCCCCCCCCAGTCCCCGCCCTCCTCAGGCCTCTGGTTGCCTCTAGTCCCAGCCTCCTCGGACTTCATGCAGACTTTCCCTGCAGGCTCCTTCACTACTTCCGTGGCCGCCACCATCTGGAAGAAATCATGTACCATGAGAATGCACGGCGCTCCCAGCTGCTCACGCTCTGCGACAAGTTCCGTAGTGTACTGGTGGTAGCCACCCACGAGGACCCCGTCATTGCTGTCTTCCAGGCACTGCTCACGTGAGCCCAGGTGCAGAGTGGAGAGGCTGCTGGAGTGTGCGGGTGGGGCCAGCCTCCCCTACCCTGTAGCCCCATCGCCACATGCCTGAGCTCTCTTGGCCCTGAGGCTTGGGCTAGATGGTCCACCTAGGCCTGCCTAAAGCCAAACCCCCACTGTCTTCCTTGCTGCAGGCCAGTTCAGTCTGGTGTACAGTGAGCGCTACATTCTTACTTTGCTCACCCTAGCAGCAGCCTTCATGTCACAGGGCTGGAGGGAGCCTCTCAGGGCTCAAGTCTGATGAGGCCTGTGTCCTATGTGAGTGCGGGCTGCACGTTTTCAGGCATTCCTTTCTACTGACTGTGCCCCATGGCCCCACTGTGTGGACACCCAGGAGGTGTAGGAACACTTGGTCAGCCTATCCCCACCCCTCTGAGGGCTGTCCATGGTAAAGTCTTGCATGGTACCCTTGCCTAGCACTGATTCTGCCCATCACATGCTGCTGCTTCCTAGCTTGGGTTAGCCCTCACTATGACCCCAAATAAGCCACTAGCAGACTCATAGCAAAGCTGTCACCTGTCCTGACCATAAGACACTCCAGGGCCTGGACTGCGCCACTGGGCAGCCCTGTTACCTGTGTATACCCCCTGCCCAGTTGTGCAGGAGGCCCAACCTCAGGGGGGTTGTCTGTACACTCTCTGATGACTGCCCCATCACTCAGTGGGCCTGGTGCTGTGCACAGCCCTGAGCCCCTCTGTGCTGGAGACAGGCACTGACCAGCCAGGGGGTGCCTGGCTAAGATAGCAGTTTTCTAGAAATAAAAGATTTATTTGGTTTTTAAACAATTAAAAAGCCTTGTCTGAGCAGGTACTTTGCTCAGGCTCGTGCATCCTGCTCAGCCACTTTGTCCACCACACTGACCCAGGGACTGCCCTGGATATAGAAGCGCAGGGGCTTCTGGGCCCACTCCCCTGAATAGCCAATGCCCACCCGGGCTGCTGCCACCACAGCTTGCTCACTGGGCCCTAGGGAGCCACGTTCCAACCATAGGGCCTCATCCTTGGCCAGGTCCCTCTGGTCAAAGCTCTTATCGATGGCCAGGGCTTGGCACAGCTTGGAGGGGCCACTGCAGAGCTCACGGTCCTTGAGGATGCGGCAGGCAGTGCCTTTCCGGAGGGTGCTGCGAAGCTGCCGCATGGTCTCCAGGCCTCCCAGTGGCTCCAGTGCTCGCAGAAGGATGCAGGCTCCATCCCCTGTGGGCAGGCAGGCAGCTTAGAAGCAGAGCTTCCCTAGGTTCCTGCCCTCCCAGCCACAGGGCACACCAGTGTTGCAGAGATGGTACAGAGGCCTTTCTGCTTGTGGCCTGCTCCCATTGCCTTCTGGGTCTAGCCCGGGAGAGGGGTCTGCATCTCATTGTGTCTGGATCCCTCTGCCTGTTCCTCCTGTGTGCCTGTACCATTGCCCACTGGGCAGCCCACTGGCTGCTCCCATGAAGCCAGAACCAGCTTGAGACCCTGGTGAGTGGCTGACACCCGTTAGCTCCTTTCTGTCTGGCTTCCCTGGTCTTGCAATTGGCAGCAGCTACAAGGCTAGTGCAGAAAGTTCTAGACAGCCAGTCCGCCCTTGGTGGGGGCTTCTCTGCCAGGAAGGCTTGGGCCTAGCTACAGTCTCCACTAGTTTCTAAGCAGGCTCCAAGGCTCTTCACCTGCCTCACCAACTTGGTATCCATGTTGGCCAAGCCTGGAGTAGCCACCCATGTGCACAGGAGGCTGAGAGAGCTCAGCTGCTGATTCATGGGAAAATGACGAAGCCCCCTTGGCTCTCTTGGGATGTCCTCCTACCCCCCCCCAACCCCCACCCTGTGTAGCTTCTCCCTCACCAGTATGGGCTGCTCCAGGAAATACAGGTGTCCAAATTCCCTCTGCCATTGATATCTGGGAAGCCCACTCAGATTCCTGGCTGGGACAGTGGTGATATGGACCCGAGCCAGAGGAGCCCTGACCTTCCAGCAAGGCACCTGCTCTAGCTCACCTATGTACTCCTGGCCTGCCTCCCCACTGGGAGTCAGAAACTCAGCTGGAGGGTGGCCTTCACCACATGGCCTCCATATCAGCACCAGGAGCCAGTCCTGAGTGGGCAAAGCCATGCCCTTTGGCACAGCCAGCATCTTAGCAAATGCAGAGTTCATGTGAGATGACACCCCTTAACCAGCCAGTTGTCACACTATGGTAAGATACAGGCAGGGCTAGGCACAGCCTTGAAGTCCCAGCCCGTGTGATTCCCACCTGCTCCCAGCTCAACAAGTGTGCTCCCTCTGTGCCCACCCTGAGCCACTTCAGCAGGAAGGAGTGGGCAAGACCCCATAAGTCCCTGTGGGTGCAAGACACATGCCCCCTACTGTTTCATTGAGCCCCCAAGTCCCTTGCAAATGAGACAAAGGAGCAGCCTGGCTGCCCCCATTACCACACTCCCTTCACTTGGTTCCTTCACCTAGAAGGCATCCAAGTCCCATATCTTGACAACGCTAACACCTCGGCTCTCTTCCTGCCAGACTTCTATACCCTCACCTCTACTACTCTGCCCACCCTGGCCCTGCTCTTAGTAGTCTCATCCTTATCTTGACCAGTTTTCCTCATCTCCATGTGCTGCTTCCACCCCAAGGGCAGGTGATGGCCATGGCCTGGTCTCCCTTCACCTCTACTCCACCTAAACAACCCTAGCTCTGACCACCTGCACCCATGGTGGGGGCGGTGGAGAGCCCGGCCCTCTAGACCTGGACTTTCCTGGGGCATCTTGGTCTCAGTGTCCAGATATTACTTATTACCATCCTACCCCTACCTTGTCCACCAGACCCCAGAGCCCTGGGCTCCACCCCTCCTTTGTAGACACAGCACCAAGTGTTTCTATGCTTCTTTCTCAGACCTGCGCCATGTGAGGGGCTGGTTGCATGGCCAACAGGAAGCCCCATGAGCAAGCTCCCCAGGGCACTCAGATGGCCCTTGGTGGTGGTGGTGGGGGCTGCCATCTTCTAATGTCCACTCAGTTTCCCTCAGCACTGGTTTTTTGCCAGGCCAGGGACAGTCCTGGGGTCTCCATAGCCTTCAGCCCCCATGGCTTCAAGCACTAGACACCCCTGGCTGGCTGACTGGGGTGCTCACAGTCCTCACATCACTGTACTCAACAAACCTGTGACCCACAATGTTACATGCCCTGGGCTGCTCGTGGGCCTCCCTAAGTATTAGCTCATCTTGGGGTGGGTGGGGGAAGGCTTGCCTGGGGGGTAGGGGGACCTCATAGACCCTGCACCTGGTCAGCAGTGGCTCTGACCCTGACTTCTTCCTCCTGAGCATACAGAATCCCAAGAACACAGAGCCACATGTTCCCCAAGGACATAGCCTGCCCCAGCACTGGACCCACAGAGACAAGTGGGTTCCAGAAGCTCAGGCCTCCCTCTTCCCCAGTGCTGATGTTTGGGGCCAAGTGAGACATTGTTGGGGGCCATCCTGTGTGCTGTGTGTGTTGGGCGGTAGCAATGGCCTCCACACACTAAGTGCTAGTAGCTCCTCTCAGCTGTGATGACCAAAATATGTCTCCAGACATTGCCTAATGTCCCCTGGGGGGCAGAATTGCCCCTAGTTGAGAACAACTGATTCAGATTCCATAATGGGCTACCTGGCAAGGCTCCTGCCTGAGTTCAACTTTACCCCAAATTGATTCCATCCGTTTCTCCATGACCAGCCCTTAACGAATCTACCCAGTGCCATCTTGGGTAGATGGGACCAGCAGTGGCCTCCCAAAATCTGTCTGATCTACATTCAGGGTTATCCACTGGCCTCTTTTTTGTGGGGGCCTGCAGCCCCTCCAACCTTGCATCGACAATGTAGCCAGAGCTCTCAAAACCCTGCCCCAGGGCAGGTGCAGTGGCTCACACCTGTAATCCTGACACTCTGGGAGGCCAAGACAGGTGGATTGCCTGAGCTCCTAAATTCAAGACCAGCCTGAGCCAGAATGAGACCCCATTTCTAAAAGTAGCCAGGGGATGTGCCGGGTGCCTGTAGTCCCAGCTACATGTGAGGCTGAGGCAAGAGAATCTCTGGAGCCTGATTTGAGGTTGCTGTGAGCTATGATGCCACAGAACTCTACTGAGGCCAACAAAGTGAGATAGTCTCAAAAAAAAAAAAAACCAAACCAACAATCTAAAATCCTGCCCTAGCAATGACATCTCCTTTTTCCAATGTCCACCCTACCCAGTAACCCTAGGGGTCCCCTGGCTACTGGCTGAGGGTATGGTGTGGCAGCTGGTCCTGCTGCTCAGAAAGGCCTCAGAGCTGGTAGGTAGGAGCTAGCTATGGGGGTTGGGGGGCTAGATAGCTGGCTGAGAGGCTCTCTCTGCCAACCCTCCTGCTCCCTAAGCCCCAGCACCCCAGCACTGCTTACCTCGGCTGGAGACATTCATGCAGAAGTACATGCCGTAGATGATGTACACGTACAGGGTCCCTGGCTTCATGAACATGCCCCGGTTGCGGGGGGTCTGCCGGCCACCCCTTGAGTGGGCGGCTTCATCTTCTGGCCCCAAGTATGCCTCGGTCTCCACAACGCGGCCTCGGAGCTCTGTGCCATTGGGGAGTCGCCGGACCAGGACCTATGGGGAGTTAGTTTATTAGTCCACCCACCTTGGGCCTCCTCTTCTCCCCCACAGAGTGTGCCAGATGCCCAAGTCTAGCCAGGGCCTTGTCCCACCATTCCATCATCCTGTCTCTTGCTCCAGCTCAAGAACCTAGATGCTGCTGGCTACCAGCGATCTCTCCTCCAGCCCCACTAGACCACCAAACTGCTACCCTGGGTACAGAGTCCTGATCACAGGTCACAGCCACCTCAAGTTCCAGCTGGGGCTGGGCTGGAAACCAGCACTTATAGATTCACTGTGCAGGTCAGCCTTCAGGTCCTCTAGTGGGACCCTTCATTCCTCCACCTCCTCCTTTCCCAAGGAGGCCTCTTCAGTGAACTATAAATATTTAGCGTGAGGCCAGGTGGCACGAAATGCACAAGGCCCGATTGGTATCCCCACACAGCCTCCTGGGACATTTCAGAGTCTGTGCAGTGCCCCCAAACTGGGCTGCAGGGTCAGTGACCAAGGACTCACACAGCTAGCTCCTACCCACCAGCTCTAAGGCCTTTCTGAGCAGCAGGACCAGCTGCCTCACCACACCCCACCCTGGACTATGGTGCTGAAAGTGGCCAGCAGCTGTGCTCCAATGCCCAGAGCCCCAGCCCTGTACAGGTGCACACCAGAACTCTGGGGATTAGCCAAATCCCCAGCATTTGTCTCCTCCTTAGGCCAGAGGGGTCAGTGGGATGCCAGGCCACTCTGCCTCAGCACAGGAAGCCCTGTGGTGCCTGAGGCCATGATAGTGCACAGGACAGGGAGGAAGAGCACTCAAGCTTAGAGGCTCATGGGGGAGCATTCAGGAAGCATTCCTGGAGACAGGGTACAGAAAAGAAGGGGCTGATGCTTGTATTGGAAGCCCAGAAACCCCCCACCCATCCAAAGTCATGTGCACAGGAGTGAACAGCCAATACTGGTAGACCATTTAGAGAGGAGAAGGGCAGGGACTCAGAGGAAACTGCATGCTGCCACAGGGGACACACTGGGGCCCAGCTACCCTTCTGGAAATTAGATTCCTACAGCCTTTTTTTCAATTTTCCTTTCTATCCTGATTTCCTTTTTTGAGACAGGGGCTCCCTTAGTCACCCAGGCTGGAGTGGTGTGGTCTCATCACAGCTCACTGTAATCTCAAACTCCTAGGCTCAAGTGAGCCTCCTGTCTCAGCCTTCTGAGTACCTGAGACTATAGGCATATGCCATGATGCCTGGCTAATCTTCCCCACGCCTTTTTTTTTTTGAGACAGAGCCTTAAGCTGTTGTCCTGGGTAGAGGGCTGTGGCATCACAGCTCACAGCAACCTCCAAATCCTGGGCTCAAGCGATTCTCCTGCCTCGGCCTCCCAAGTAGATGGGACTACAGGCGCCCCCCAACAATGCCCGGCTATTTTTGGTTGCAGCCATTATTGTTGTTTGGTGGCCCCAGGTTGGATTTGAACCCGCCAGCTCAGGTATATGTGGATGGCGCCTTAGCCATTTGAGCCACAGGCGCCAAGCCTAATCTCATTTTTTGCAGAAACAAGGTCTCATTCTTGGTCAGGCTGGTCCTGACTCCTGGCCTCAAGTGATCCTCCCACCTCAGCCTCCCAGAGTGCTAGGATTACAGGCATGAGCCATTGAACCATCCCTGGCCCTCTAACAAGCTTTTCTTTTGTGTGTGTGTGTGAGAATCTCACTTTGCTGGCCTTGGTAGAGTGCCATGGTATCATAGCTCATAGCAACCTCAAACTCTCAGGCTCAAGCAATTCTCTTGTCTCAGCCTCCAAGTAGCTGGGACTACAGGTGCCTACCACAACACCCAGCTATTTTTAGTGACAGGTTCTTGCTCTTGCTCAAGCTGGTCTTGAATTCACAAGCTCAGGCAATCCACCCACCTGGGCCTCCCAGAGTGCTAGAATTATAGGCGTGAGCCATCACGCCCAGCCCCCCATCAAGATTTTCTGATCTAAATTTCACTCTGATATCATTTTTACCAATGGCAGATACTGGTTGCCTACTTACCCCCACTTACAAACATGCATACCTCCTTCCTATTGGCAGAAGGTCCTCGGCAGTAGGCAACACCCTCCTCAGCCCAGAAAGCCCAAAGCAACTCATTGCAATGGCCCTTTTAGGGATGAATGTGTGACCCAAGCCTGGCTGAGGAGTCTGCAAGGCATCCACTGGGTTGTTATAGAAAAGGATGTCTTTCCTGACAGGTGAGATACCACCCTCTTTTCTGCTGGATGCCATCTGTTTTTTTGTTGTTTTTTTGAGATAGTCTCACTCTGTGCCCTGGGTAGAGTGTCATGGCGTCACAACTCACAGCAACCTCAGGGTCTTGGGTTCAAGAGATCCTCTTGCCTCAGCCTCCTGGGTAGCTGGGACTATAGGCACCCACCACAATGCCCAGCTAGTTTTTCTATTTTTAGTAGAGATGGGGTCTTGCTCTTGCTCAGACTGGTTTCAAACTCCTGAGTTCAAGCAATTCGCCTGCCTTAGCCTCCCAGAGTGCTGGGATTAAAAGCGTGAGCTACCACACCTGGCCTGCTGCAAGCCATCTTGTCTGCCAATGGGCTCCAATGGGCATGACTGGAGCCTAAATGGAAACGTGATGAGAATGCTGACTAGAGACAGACATAGAGTGGTCCTTGTCACCACCCTTGGTCCCTTTATCTAATCCTGGGACATACCGTGTTTCCCTGAAAATAAGACACTGTCTTATATTTATTTTTTTCTCAAGAAGACACACTAGGGCTTATTTTCAGGAGATGTCTTTTTTTTTTGCAGTTTTTGGCTGGGCTGGGTTTGAACCCACCACCTCCAGCATACAGTGTCAGCACCCCACTCCTCTGAGCTACAGGTGCCGCCCGAGATGTCTTATTTTTATTAAGTATAATACAACAATCTACATTTATTCAAATGCAGTTAAGTCATCTTCTTCTGGAACCTGACAGGTGAAGCCGACCTTGTTGGTGGGGCTGGCGCTAGTGATGCATGAACTCCTAGCCGTTCGCACGTGCACAATAGCATGCCTGCCTGTGCAAGTTCGAAGGGCTGGGAGAGAGAAAGGAGCTGTGGCAGATAAAAGGTATTCCAGTCTTACCGCTCGCGTAGGAATAACAGGTGTGGCTATGCAGATAGTCTTCATAGCCATGCCCATCACTACGTCTTATTATGGGGGTAGGGCTTATATATTTAACAAATGCATAGAAATCATGCTAGGGCTTATTTTTGGGGTAGAGCTTACTTTTGGGGAAACATGGCACCTGTCTTGCCTGCCGTTATGTCATTTCACAAATGCCATTATTTACAGTGCTTATAAATGGATCCTCTGAATCTTGTCCCTTCTCTACTAGGTTAAACACACATTTTAGGGTCTGTTCCTTTTGCTACCCAACTCCTGGCACTGAAAATGGCTCTTCTTAGTCATTTAACATCTTAAATGAGTCATTTAAAAAGTAGACTCATTAAAAGACAAAGGGGGCTCGGCGCCTATAGCTCAACCGGCTAAGGCGCCAGCCA